GTCCTTTCCCCATTTTTCCTCGTCATTAGACTTATAGCCTCCACATCTTAGTCTTTAGTCTCACTTCCACGTTCCTCCACATACCATATCTATTGGAGGGGGGAGAGAGAACACTTTGGGTGAAAGGTCGAACAAAGGAGATAAACCAAGAACTTCTTGTCCAAGTTAGCAAGGCAAGGTGCCTCACCTGCTCCAAGGCACAAGCACGCTTCGGTGCGTGTTTTTCGGGGCTTTTAGAATAGTGCATTAAACAAAAGGGCTACAGACTGCCATTACTATTACGGAAGTAGTATAGCATAGCAAGCTGAATATCCAACCCCCCACTTAAAGAAATATGAAATTGCAGTTGATTAGCAGACATTCTTCAAAATGATGTCATAAGTTTCACCCTAGCATAAGATATATCAGTGATCTGGAAAAGAAAAACAAGTCACATAGAAAGTTTACTCGATTCGGAAAATAAGGACAATTACTTGAAAACTGCGGAGCTCTTCTTCTTCTGCATCAGCCATTTGCCTTTCATATTCTCTCTTTGACTGCATACAACCGACAATAAAATTCCGAGAAGCAAAAGAGAAGAAGGAAAATTGATAATCTAGTGTTGAAATACTAAATATGTTTGGTTACTTAAGATTGAACTAATAAACAAATTGTACTGCAATTATTACGGGACATGAGTTCAAAACAATAATCTCACCGTTTCCAATTTATCCAGAAATTCTGTCTCATCCTCATCCAGAGCTTTTGGTGGTCCTGCAGTAAAATAAGCATGAGTTTTAATCCTTGCATGATTCGCATGGATGAAATCCTGTATCTTTGATCATTTGTGCTATCTGGCTTCCTTGATTGGATCTACACTAAATATTAAAAACAAAAACAATTATATGTGTTGTTATAAAGAACAACAAGATTGATATTACACTTCAGCACTCACTGTGCTTGAACCGTTCATTAAATTCAGCATCACGCTTGTCTTTATTTTCCTTTAGGATCTGCAAACAGGAAAGAGAAACATACTTAACAACAGAAATGCTTAAATCTATGGATTTGAATGCTCGTACCTTGAGTACATACAGAGATATATAATAATGAAAGATTACCAAAAAAGGCCTTACAAAGATATAATAGGCCATCAAAATGCAACCGGAGCATCAAATATTAAAAATATATTTTTAATAAGTCAAGAACAAGTTACTATTTGACATCATACAGTCACTTAAAACTTCAAAGTTTACACAGAAAGTGACTAATAGACAGTAAAATATTTCATTCACAAAGAATAGTGACATATGGCTCAATGGCAATCGGTATATATTGAGAGACCAATTTTATAAATGGACTTCTCTTAGTTAAACAACTCAGCCAACTCTCAATGATCCTTAATTTTAACTCTCAACGTAACAACTCCATTAATTAGACATTAAGTAGCAACGAAATACAAAAATCCCAGTTGGCATGTTCAAGCGGGGATGAGACTGTCCCCTCCAAGCCTCTCAAGCCACATTCACAACCCAAACTTCAGTTATAGTGGCTTCTCTAGGGTATCAATTGTTGCTTCATTGATTTGCTTCATTAATAGGTTCACGATTCAACTTTGATTAATATGGACTGGTACCAATATCTAGTCTTAGACAGGCAGACTTAATTTTACAATGGGTACTGCAACAATGAAAATGAAAACCGCAAATGATAGAAGCTTCTCAAGCCACTGGAAGTGTCTTAGAAGATATTCTGATTTATTCATTAGGATCATGATTTGTGGTTATTATTTCTGTAAGATCTCCCACCACTTGCTAGCTGCTCATAGGTCAATTCATATCCTTATATTACTTAACTGAACATAATGGTTATAAATGAAATAGCCCGGGAAGGTGAGGAGCTTATTCCAAAAACCTAAATGTTCATTTCCCAACATCTAAACAAGCAAATAGCTTCATTTTATTCCACTAGTAGGATTTATATCCGGGTGTAGAAGTGAAGAAATGTTGAAAAACCTCGAAGAGGGGTCTGTCTCTTTGAGCAGTGCCGTCTTCAACTCGCTCGCCCCTTGTTTTCTTGGCTTCATCCAGCTGCAAAAACCAATGTATTAGTATTAATTTTAGAAAAATAAATCCATAACTTTTCAGAGTAATATGAATTGGTGAAAGAAGAGGATGGGAAGCGGAACCTGTTCCTCAGAGACGAAATTCATCAGCCTAATTGCTCGCCCAGATTCGTCCTCCATTCTCGCTCGCGCTCCACTTCAAACACTTCCAAGATTTCAATTTTACAAGTCACTTCCTTACAATGTTCTTTCCAGTCTCCGAGTCCGAGTCTCTCCCTCCCTCCGTTCCTTCGCCGCCGCTGATCAAAAAAACAGAAAATTTTCTGATAGAAAAACCGAACCGAACCACCCAAGTTCCTTTTGTGCCTTCAGCAGCCCAATCCCATCCCACCCTGTGGCCCGTGCAGCCCAGTGGACCAGCCCAACGATCAGCTCCAGTCCGCCCAAAAGATGCAGTCAACGGCTTTTTTAGTTTTGGATTTCTTTTTTTCTTTGTAAAGAAAGCTTTTTTGAAAAATTGATCCATTTCTGTTCTGTTCTGTCCTCAACCCTCAAATTCCTCCTCGCATTTCATCACTGTTCGCGCCGCCTGCGCATCGCCGCCGCGGGGTAGTCCGGTGCTCATCTGAATCGCAGAGGTCGATCCATCGTAGAACTCATTGTGGCATCTTTTTTTGGTTACTTCAATTGCACAGTCCCTTCTTTCTCTTTCTGACTCACACTCACGCTCACATTCAGTGGGTTTGAAGCTTGTTGAGCATCTTCGTGAACTCTTCAATGTTCGTCGTTGTGTTCATTTTAATTTTCTGAATCTCAACCATGACACAGTCAGAATTATTGTGTTATTTTTTTATTTTTTTATTTTCTCATATTTTCTCCATTTTTGCTATTTGTTGCTGGGAAGGATATCAAATCTGAATACGATTTTCCTTTTTGATAAGAATCACTAACTACTCAGATCTAGTTCTTAAGTGCTCCTCTGTTATTTACTCTTCGTTTTTTTCGTTCTTTGTTATTTTTTCCTTGTCGGGATGGTTAGCATGGATTGATGATTTAAGTTTTTTTGTTTATTTTGTGGCATTTGTAGCCGATTTTCGATTTGAAAGGAAAAAAAAAAGGACAACCAGACCCAATCCAGTCCAAATTTCATAGTGTTGACTTAGATTTCTTCCTGTGGGCTGGTCATTCTTACATAGTAGATTGTTGGAACTTCTCCCAATGTCCACTTGATTGTTATTTTATTGCATTTCATTGTCTCCAATTGAATTTTTTTAGATGATTATCGTGCAGAGGTTATAAATTGAAAGCATGGCTGGTCCTAAGCCTGGTAGCTCTGCTACTAATCCAAAAGCTGGTAAATATTGTTCCTCTAATACACTATTTGTTTCTCATTCCTTTGTTTGGTTCTGTTTTTACTATTTCTTTGTTGTTTACTGGGCAGGCGGGAAAAAGAAGGAGGTGAAGAAAGAGACAGGTTTAGGTCTCACCAATAAGAAGGATGAAAACTTTGGAGAGTGGTATTCTGAGGTGCTGTTTCTTGCTTGATTTTTGTGTTCCAAATTTGTGTTGGGTAAATTTATTTGTACGAGTTGAGTTTGCATTCTCATCATTCTCATCGATTTCTAGAACTTCTTTGCCCTTTTTTATTTTATTGTTGTAAAATGTCATTGATCAAGGAAATAATTTCTTATGTAAAACAGATAAAATGGTAAAAGAATATTTGAAGATATTTCTTTTTTGGAAGAAGCAGTCCAGTAATAATATGAACGGGTTCTTTTCAGTGACTTGAATAATTCTTTTTCTAGTTTGTCTAGGTGGTTGTCAGTGGAGAAATGATTGAGTATTATGATATCTCTGGCTGCTATATACTGAGGCCGTGGGCAATGTCTATTTGGGAGACAATGCAAGTAAGTATATGCTACTCTTTCTATTGTCAATTTTTCTTTTATATGACTTCTGTTCACATCACACTTTTGCATGATATTTTGTTTTATTCTGACAATTGCCTCTTAAAATACCTATGTCAATTTCTTTATTGGGTTCAGAAGTTGCTCTTGTAATAGTAATAATAATAATTTGGCATCATTGACTTTTACAATCTTGTACTTTTATTTGAAGTTCAAGGATTTAATTTGTCATTGGTGCAGGAATTTTTTGATCCAGAAATTAAGAAGATGAAAATCAAGAACTGCTATTTTCCGCTTTTTGTATCTCCTGGTGTCTTACAAAAAGAGAAAGATCATGTAGAAGGTTTTGCTCCTGAGGTGATGTTCTATTATTCATATATGCAACAATAGTGGAACTTATCCATCTGAATTTGAAATGCTTACTATCTTTGATTCTTTGTTTGTTTATTTATTATTTTTTTTTAATGAGAAATGGATATTTCATTGAAAGGAAAAAAATATGATGAAATGTGAAACGCTTAATATTTTTGCTGTGGACATAATACCAATTACACGATTGTATGGTTACCATGGTCATTTGCTTGCGAGTATCATTCCAATTTTCATGATATTTTGATTATGCTGAGTGCCCTCAGTGCAATGGCTACATGTCCTTAGTTTGTTCTTCTAGCCTCTGACCTATTTCTTATCACCATAGCTTTCGCTCAAGCGATGAAATATTATATTTATTGTTCCTTATTAAAAACTGTTCTTGATAAGATTTTAGGATCCCCATTTTTAGCAGTCTTTAAATTGATAAAAGTGAAATTTTGGTTTAGTGCTGACAGTTTGGTACTTGGCACTGATTTGAAGGTTGCTTGGGTGACAAAATCTGGGGAGTCTGAGTTGGAAGTGCCCATTGCAATTCGCCCTACAAGTGAGACCGTTATGTATCCATACTATTCCAAGTGGATTAGGGGTCACCGTGACTTGCCTCTGAAACTCAACCAGTGGTGCAATGTTGTGAGATGGGAGTTCAGCCATCCCACACCATTTATCAGGCAATTACTCTTGCATGTGTTTATTTATTTCTTCTTTTCCTTTTCTCCTTTTTTGCTCCGTTGATGGACTGACTACATTGGTCCTGTTATCAGAAAGATGTTTTATAAATTGTTTAGTGTTCTCTATTAAACGTGTCTTATTTGCAAGATAGTATAATTTTCTTGAACATTTTTTAAAATTTTGGGGACATCAGTATTTGAAAATTATTATATAGCATCCGGAGGAAAAGGCCAATTTTTAGTAATTACTTGGCTGCAGGAGTCGGGAGTTCCTTTGGCAGGAAGGGCATACTGCTTTTGCTACAAAGGAGGAAGCAGATGCAGAGGTATCAAACTCAAGAACTTTAATCCGAATTGTCTTTTTCTCAGTGACTAGTAATGAAAATGAATCAATCTTCTTGGGATAAGTGGAACTTTGAGATGAAACTCTGAATTTTTAAATGGGTAGAGGAGAGGTATCAAAGATGTTTTGTGTTTGATGAATATCTCTTTGTTATTTTTTCTCTCGTTTGGGTTGACTTTTTGTTTAAAAATAAAGAAGTTAGTAGGTTTTAGCATCCTTGTAATCTGAAATTTATACTTCAATAATAATGAACTTTGAAGAACACAATAAATTTGTTAGTTTGTTTGATGTCACAAGAAAGTGCTGTAGAGTCTTAAGACAAGTAACTGTTGAAGGTGTGGATCTTTTAGGACTTCTGAGATGTAGGGTTTAGTACCAATGGCCTAATTATAACGTCACTTCTTGCCAAAAAGAATGGTACAACTACGGCACCAATTAGGTCTCAATGGCAATAGCTTTCAAATTTGTGAAATTATTTAACTACAGCACCAATTAGGTCTCAATGGCAACATGCAAACACTCACTTTGATTGGAAGCAAAAAGAATGGGTCTAAATTGAGAAAAAGCAGCATCAAGTTCTTCAAGTGATCATGCTTGACTGCTTTGAACTCAAGGATGAGTTTTCTTCAGTTTGAAACCATGATGGAGTAATTTAGGGATCAAATGTTTCATAATTTCTAGATTTTGTATATTATTGGATAACTATTAACAGTCAAAACTGAATTTTTTTATTTGGAGATTATTAATGAATTCTACTAGGGTTTTTTAAGTCTTCTGCTCTTATTTTTTGCCGTGCCTGTATCTCTTCTTAGCCATTCTTTCTGGAGGTTTCCTTCATCAATGAGTTACATTTTTATCTATTGATTTTATGCACTGTGAACCATGTTCAATTGTTCATAGATCATCTAATGGATAATAGCTGTTATGCTTCTGATCTCTCTCTCTTCTTTTTTCTATTGGGTAGACAAAAAAGTTATACAGGTAATTGAAAGAATGTAAAGGGGAGAGGGAAGGTTAAATATCCATCTTAACCAATCTAAGAGAGATTACAAAAACACCCTTCAATCTGATACCCTGAAAATATTCAATTCTTCAGTGTAACTGTGGTCACTATTTAAAGGTTGCTATCATTTCAGGTTCTTGATATATTGGAACTGTATAGGCGCATATATGAAGAATACCTTGCTATTCCTGTTATCAAGGGCAAGAAGAGTGAGATGGAGAAGTTTGCTGGTGGTCTTTACACCACAAGTGTCGAGGTATGAATTGAATAAATGTTATGACATACTTTCAGCATGGTGAACTAATACCTGGTTACTCGTTGATGTCATATAAAACCCTATTTCTTCACGTGTGATATGCAGGCATTTATCCCCAACACTGGTCGTGGAATTCAGGGTGCAACTTCACATTGTTTGGGTCAAAATTTTGCAAAAATGTTTGAAATAAACTTTGAAAATGAAAAGGGGGAGAAAGCTATGGTCTGGCAAAATTCATGGGCCTACAGTACTAGAACGGTAATCTTTCGATACTTGCATTTGTCTTCGGTAACTTGTCAGAGCGAATTCTGCATTTTTTCTAACAGAAAATAGTGATGAGCCCATATATTACCATTTATGAATGGTCAATTCTTTTTGTCTTTTATCTAATCTTCTAGCCTTTCCAAATTGTTTGTAGATTGGTGTGATGGTTATGGTTCATGGAGATGACAAGGGACTGGTGCTTCCTCCCAAAGTTGCATCCGTTCAAGTTATTATAGTTCCTGTTCCTTACAAAGATGCAGATACTCAAGGAATTTTTGATGCTTGTGCTGCCACTTTGGATACATTGTCGGAAGCCGGAATTCGTGCAGAGGTAGACTCTAGGGATAATTATTCTCCTGGATGGAAGTATTCTCACTGGGAATTGAAAGGTGTTCCCCTCAGGATTGAAATAGGGCCCAAGGACTTGGCAAACAATCAGGTTAAATAATCCATCCTTAATGTTTTTTTCCTCACTTCTGAATTACTGTTTTTAACTTACTAACACTCTACTTGCTTTATTTCTAGGTACGTGCTGTTCGCCGTGATAATTCGGCAAAGAAAGACATACCTAGAGGCTCATTGGTTGAACAAGTGAAAGACTTGCTGGAAAATATTCAACAAAGCCTGTTTGACGCGGCAAAAGTAAAACGAGATGCATGCATTCAGGTTATTAGTACATGGGAAGAGTTTACTGAAGCACTCGGTCAGAAGAAAATGATATTAGCTCCATGGTGCGATGAGGAGGTATAGTTTCATTGCTTATTGCTATTTTGATTCTGCTTGTGAAGGATTGATTGCTTTTTGGTTTTGATCTTTCATGAGGCCACCATAAGTTTCTTTGATTTGTTTAAGGGATATCCATATGTTTAGTTTCTTATGAAGTTTGTGTTATTTGATGTCGTTGTTATATTACTCAGGAGGTCGAGAAGGACGTGAAAACAAGGACCAAGGGTGAGATGGGAGCAGCTAAAACACTATGTTCCCCATTCGAGCAGCCCGCACTACCAGAAGGTACTAAATTTCTGTCCAAATCTGTGTTCTTTCGATGATTAGAATTTATATCTTGTGACAGCTTGGGAAGTTTATTGGTTACTCTTTTTGGTTCCTTGAATTACTATGACTTTTGTGGTCAGGTACCAAATGTTTTGCATCTGGGAAGCCTGCAAAAAAATGGAGCTACTGGGGCAGAAGCTACTAAGCTATCATCTCGTGTTTGTCTCTGATGCTAACTCCTGTCCTGTTGCGCCTGGATACAGCGTGTCGAGAAATCAGCATTAGAGTTCATTGAGGATGGGGGAAATCGATTCGGTTAATTTCGAGTTCAAAAGAATTTCCAAAAGAAGCATTCACTTAGCAAGATAATATTATGGAACATTTTTTACTCTGTCTGCGTACTTGGATTTTCTTTTTCTTGAATTTTGTCTTATGGGTTTTGTCTCACAATCATCAATCTTGGTTTTCAGTTACTGTTAAAGTAGGCCAAGTTCTTGGGAGTGTCTAAATTTTAGATTTTGTATGGTTCATTTCATGTATATCAATTCGGGGAAGTCGTACGGCTACCTGTCATAGTAGTCTATTACTCATTACCCTCATTTATTTATCACCCAATTGAATGTTTGACATGCTTGTTTATTTTTCTTTGTATTTCACTGAAATAATTTAATTTTATGAAAATTAAACCAATTTGATTCATCTAGTAGATGGATTAATTTGACTAATTTATTTGAAATAATTAAGTTGTATTCATTAAGGTCTCTGATAACTGTATCATTTTTCAAATTTATTCTCCATTTTTCCCATTTCTTTGGGATGTTTTTTACCTTTCAAAAATATATTTAAATTCTTAGTTAAATTTTAAAAAAATTAAAAACTACTTTTTTTAATATTCAAATGATTTTGAAAATACTTTTAAAAATTAGATATTAAAATTAAAACAAAGAAAAATAGGTGGAAGTACTGATTCTAAATTTAGAACTAAATTTAAATTTAAGGTGGGTGCTAGCTCACAAGTTTTTTTATTCAGGTTTAAATTTAAATTTAAAAATTCAGGTTTTTTTATTACAAGTTTAAGGTGGGTGCTAGCTCACAAGTAAACGTCGAGTTTTTCTATTCTCTCTTCTTTGAGTATGATAGGTGGGGGCGGAATCAAAGGATGGAATATGTTGCTTCGAGCTCATTTGGTAAAATTTACGTTTTTTGTTTTCAATTTTGAGAAACATAAGGGTTTGATGATTTAAATTTCTAATTTTTAAGAAATGTTACCAAAATTTTGTAAAAAGTTTCTGGTTCCCATTTCTAGTGTTTTCCCAAGTATTATTTTATCATTCTTGACTTATAAAATGTAAAATAAATATAAAATATATAAGATAAAAAAATGTGAATATTAATTTCCAAATTCTATTTTCATATAAATAATTTAAGAGAACAAGAAACAATTCCAAATATATTTCTTTTGTTTTTTAATAAAAAAAAAGCAATAAATAATTATCAAACACAATTCAGTTTATATTATAAGAAAACGGAGGAAAAATAATAAACAAGACAAGAAATAAAAATGTTACTAAATAAATCCATGGTTACTCTAGATTTTATTAAAATAATTGTTAAGAGCATAAAATTAAAAAATATATTTTAACTAAATAATTGGTAGGATAGAAACACAAAGACATGAGTGATGGTTGCTTTCTTCACGACCTTCTAACTTTTTTCTCGAGTTATGTTCATATTGACAACTACAGTCGTAGAATCTGAATTGAATGAAGAAGACAAAACAGTTAATTAAAGCCTTTTTCACATAAAACTGCAAGGCCAAAATTCTGATCCAAATACTCAATGAATGACAAGTAACTACCATTTCAGCTTCTCAGACACATGCAAACATTCTTAATAAGACAGCATAATTTTCAACTACAAGCCGAATGAACTGTCTTTCCTACCATAGTGACCACCGCACATGATTAACAAAACTAGAAAATCTCTACTGCTAGAGGGAAAGAGAGACCAGAATTTGCTTCTATTTGGTATAATTTCTACTGTACACCAACATCCCAACTTTCGTTGTACTCATCAAACTTTTAGTGATACTGTTCCTTGAAGAATTTCACCAATCAATTGATTAATAAGGCTCCCATTCGCCTGCAATTCGTTTGAAGCATACAAATTTGTTGATTAGAAAAAGAACACAAGAAATGTACACCTTAAAAGGGAAGCTCATCATTATTTAGTATTTTCTACTCACCTTTATTCCAATTGCAATTGCTGTTTTAAGGTTAACAAGTTCACCTAACCTTAAAGATCCTTCTTTATCTTTCATGAGTAGCAACGGTACGTTCCTAGACAAGGCCAAGGTTGGGAGATGGTTTGTCAGCCATCGAGGGTTGCAATCACCTGCTAACAGTATAGCCTACATAACCAAAATTGAAATGCCGAATAATTAGACACCGTATACAGAAAAACAAGAATTCAATGTATGATGAGTTGGGATTAATGAGCCCTTGAGAGATATATATCAAGTATCACGAAGATGCACTAAGGAAGCTACTGCCCGTCCTGGAGAATTAAAGAAGGAATATTCACTGGTGGTTCAAAAGAAACAGAAGTCTTTTGAGGGGATGACATGAATCAAGATTTTTTTTTTGTGACCTAGTTAAAATTTACTCTTCGTCTTGGTGCTCCACGTCAAAAGAGTTTTGCAATTATTTATTGGTTTACTTTTCATAAATTCCTTTTGCATCTTTACACACTTCAAGCTTCCTTTTGGGATTCTTTTTGCAACTATCCTTGATCTTTTATTCCCAACAACTGGAGCATCTTTTTTTCCTGTAATTTTATTTTTTGACTTGCAAGTTCCTGTGCCCCTATGATTTGTACCGTTTCTTTTGTACTTTTATTTATCTTAATCAGAGTTGATTTCTTAAATATATAGACACACAAGAAAATTACCAGCCCTCCTAGGATGAACGAATGAATCTAAAATCCTCAAATCCACAATTGTTGTTTAAGAGAGACATTCGATCAAGCATGATCATATGTGCAGTTCAAACTCTTCTCACCCTTATAAAGAATGTTTGCAGAGAACCTATTAGGAAAAAGAGTTCTAACTAGCCATAAAATGTCGATTCCCTGTACAACCATTCACAAATCTCCTAGACTAATTGAGTGATGCAATCATCTTTAGAACTAAGAATTACAAAATTTCCAAAATTCAAAGCTTCTCGGGATTATAAAAATAGGCCTTTGGAGCACTAGAAGAAAGTTGATATTTGCAGCCAACTTGGCCTATCTAGAATTTAACCTCTTTGAAGTCTAGATGGATGCTTCTGCTGAACGGATAGGACTATAGGAGCAGTCCTATCTCAAAATGGTAAACCTATGGAATATTTTAGCAAGCAGCTAACTCTACGAGGGAGCAAATAGTCCACTTCAATAAGAGTTCTAAGCCTCATCCCAGTTCTTGCATCATAAGAAACACTATGTAGTGAACCATCATGGGATGGCCCAAATGGTCAATGAGGGCCAATGTAAATAGCAAAGGACTTAGAGGGAATGGGTTCAAACCATGGTGGCCACCTACCTAGGATTTAATATCCTACGATTTCCTTGTCAACCAAATGTAGTAGGGTCAGACGGTTGGCCCGTAAATAGTTGAAGTGCGCGCAAGCTGGCCCGGACACACTTATATCCAAAAAAAAAAAAAGAAAGAAAGAAAAAAGAAACACTATGTAGTGGCTACTAAATTTGCTTTATACCTGTACCAAAAATTGAGATGGATTGCTTTACAAACAACACTCGGCATTGTGCATGAACAATGGAATGTTAAAGTAGAACTTCTCTATTGTGGTTAATCACATCTCTTGGGCTATACCAATCATGTAGCATAATCCCAAGAAGGCATGAAATCTTGCTAACTACTAAGGGCTTAGTTGATATCCTTCAACAACATAGAAAAATTATATTAAGATGATGAGGGATTTAGGAAAATTTTAGGATATAATTTGCCCTCAATATGAGAACCAACAAGAACTTTCCACAGCCGAAGTTCTGTCCTCAAAAAGTTGTTTGCCTCAAGTACACTCAAATGGATAAATTGGACGTTTTAAAACAGGATAAGAAATTTTACAGGCCATGACCTAGGACAGAAGTTGGGTAATAAAGGAGGGTTGTTCCACAGACTTCATCTTCGCTTAATTAGCTCTACCTATTTGCCCTCTCTAACTTCAAAAACCTTTTTTTCCTTTTTCTTAGGCAGGATTTTTAAAGCTCAAATATCCTCTTAAGTACATGTTTGAGGCATACCATTTGAGATCTTCTGTTGCTCAATTATCATTACCTATTGAGTGAACAGTCGCCCAAAAAGGATTAACCACCACCCGCTCTTTAACCTAATATTTGAAGTATTTTGTTTGGCTTATTACAAAGAGTGCTCATGGAAGCACCCATGTAGCTCATATTTTAATTGGTTGCCTCTTCCCATCAAAGACATATATATCTTATCATTAAAAACCGCCTAGTTCAACAATCGGTGATTCAGTGACTTCATAGAAAACAAGATGAGCCCACAATTACGACACTAATAAATACGTGCATTTCGCTTACGTGAGATTGACACAAAAGTGAAACAAAACCAAGAAATTAATACTTGAGACGTCGAGTTAATGAAGAAGTTCATCAATCCACCAAAAATACTATAGAAGTGCAACAACACGGCCCATAGAAGGGTAAAGCTGGAATTCTATTAATAGCATTCGGCAGAATAAATCTTAGCATTGCCCAACACAAATATAAGAGTATACTAACCTGAAGCCTGACTGTACACGCCTTATAATTAGGGTTCATTATGCGAGCAGAATCTCCACTTGGCGTCATCCGTTCAAGAACTCTAGTAACCTCATTAACTCCAACTGCAAATTGTTTCTAAGAAGAAGTCCATCACTTAAGATAAGTACCTTGTAGGAATAATGATGAATTTGATTTTTTATATCTTTAACTAATAACAAGAAACAATATTTATTAGCCATGGTGAAGAGATATCATTGAAACGGAAGAATTAATGGAAACCTTAAGCCAAATTTTTGCCGGCAAGGATTCCGCATTCAGAAGTCTTGCTCTCTTTATCTCCCTGTTAAACACAATTAAGCCATTTCAGAAAAATTATTAAGAGAAAGAAACAGCACAAGTTACTGGTGGCTTGAACTTGAAGTGCATTATTAAACTAATTAACTACTGTTTACCTCTGAATCGACTGTAGCAACTCATCGAGACGTTGGCCTTCATAGCAACTACGTTAATCAAATCCCAAAAACGTAATCAATTGCATATTAAAACAAAATTATCAAGGTAAGAAATCAAATGGAGAGAAAATGGGGCTTACTCTTGGTGAAGCTTGGATCGTACGACTTGAGCGTTAGCAGAAGATTTCGCCTTCTTTCCCATAACCGAATACTTCCTCCGAAGGCAGTGGCCTTCTCCAATTCGACGAACACCCTACTGGAACTCGACGAACTCGCGGCTAATTTAAAATTCGATTGAAGTAACGTGATTTGTATAGGACACTAGGGCAGGGCACTTAAATTTACTTATTGAAAATTTGTTATTTAATATGTAAAAAATTCACAAATCTTTATTTTAGACAAAAATTCATATATCAAAATTATAATTTAGGACTTCATCTCTTACTTTTTAAGCTTCTGAACTTACGAGTACAAAAATTGATGGTTTACAAATTTATTAGATATAAAATTTAAAGTTGAAAGGCTTATTGCCTTTATGGATTTATCAGACAAGTTGAAGTTTAGGAGCCTATTAAATATTTTTTAAAATTCAAAGATCGGTTAAGTATAATCATAAAATTTTAAGAATTGAACTCGTATTTTAATTTAATTTGTACTTTATCTTTAAAAAGATTGTTAAATTTAATTTTACTCAACTAAAATTTTGATTTCCAAATAGTAATGCAAATAAAACAGGTCAAACTTTAATATAGCTAATGAGATTAGAGATATATTGTTATAATAGAATTGGGTAGCCTTATCAAATAAATGATTTTTGTCCTAATTTTGTAATATAAAATTAAAACGGGCTTGGATTACTTAGTGTTGCGTGCCTATGAGGGCAGTGCGCTTTGAGATGTGGAGGAGCTATTATCGGCCAACTCCCTAATCTAATGTGACATCAGGTTCGAAAGACTGGGGGACGTCTAATCCTATCGCAAGACTGGCTAACCGTATACAGTAGACTCGAAGACCCCTGATTCTAGAAGGCACATAAGCCCGAATGCTATATTGAATGTGCGACTGACAGTACACTACGAGATGAGAAAATTAGGTTACACAACAAGAGGCGTGAATCCCAAATGCTGCTTACATTTCCTTGGGGCTTTCTAATAAATAGTGTTTTACAAGAGAAAGAAGATGGGCTGATATACAGGGCCAACTAAAGATAAATAATTACACTACAAAAGAATTAAAACAAAACAAATTAAATACCCAATAAGATGGCAATAGATCAGATTGCTTCAACTCCCCCTTTCAAACGAGTGGGTGCGATAACCAGGCCGAGTTTGCTCCTCATTTCATTGAATTTCAGTTCCGACAAGTTTTTTGTGAGACCATCTACAAGTTGCTTTCCGATGGGTACATAGCGAACATCCAATTCCTTTACCAATACTTTATCTCTAATGAAATGGATGTCGATTTCAACGTGTTTACTCCTTGAGTGAAACACCAGGTTTGCTGCAAGGGACAAGCCACTGATGTTATCACACCAGATAATTGGTGGGGTGCTTGGAGCAAAGGAAATTTCCTTGAGAAGAGATTCAACCCAAATCAATTCTACGGCGGTTTGAGCTAACGCTCTATACTCGGCTTCGGTGCTCGATCGGGCTACGACCCTTTGTTTTATTGATGCCCACGATATCAAGGAGCTTCCTAGGAACACACAGTACGCTGAAATTGACCGTCGATCATCTGGATTGCATGCCCAATCAGCATCCGAAAAAGCAGTCAGAGGAAGCCTTTTGGAGGTTTGAATATGAAGTCGATAATTCTTTGTCCCTTGTAAGTACCTCAGAATTCATTTTGCTGCCTTCCAATGTATATCTGTGGGTGATTGCATAAATTGACTCAATTTATTTACAATGAACGATATATCTGGTCTTGTGTGAGATAAATACTGTAGTGCCCCGATTGTGCTTCTGTAGATTGTGGGATTTTCAATAGGAGTCCCTTCATAAGCTGATAAATATTGCTGCTCACAGCCGGTGTTGTACAAGGCTTGATTTCTGATAGATTTAGTTTCTCTAATAGGTCAGAAATATACTTGGATTGTGTAAGATACATTCCACTATCATCCCTGTAAGTTTCAATCCCAAGGAAGTAACTCAAGTCCCCTATGTCCTTGAGAGCAAACGTATTGTTTAGTTCATTTACAAACCTGATTATCACATCATTGCTGCTTCCAGAAATCAAGATATCATCAACATATATCAAAACTAAAATAGATAGATCACCTTTGTTGAAGTAGAATAAGGAGTTGTTCGCCTTAAAGTTTTTGAACCTCCACCCGATTAAAGTGTTTTTCAGCTTGTCGTACCATGCTCTCGGAGCTTGCTTCAACCCATATAGTGATTTATTCAATTTACACACATGATGAGGCTTGAACTTGTCAATAAATCCCTCCGGTTGGAGCAAGTTTATGTCCAGCTATCTAATCGTCCAATTCTTCGCCACTGCTAGAGTAATTATAACTTTGATGGTTGAAGCCTTTACTACCGGGCTAAAGGTTTCATTAAAGTCTAATCCCGGTTGTTGGTGATACCCTTTTGCAACAAGTCTTGCCTTGCACCTTTCTACACTTCCATCTTGGTTGTATTTCCATTTGAAGACCCATTTATTTCCAACAAGGTTGTAGGAGCTAGAGAAAGGGACCAAAGTCCAAGTTTCGTTTCTGCTAAAAGCTCCCATTTCTTTATCCATGGCATCTATCCACTCTTTTGATTCAAGAGCCTCCATTGCTGTTCTTGGTTCCTCTTCATTGAAATTATTTTCTACTATGTAAGTTCTTATTTTGGGCTTGAAAATACCACTTTACCTCTAGTTTGCATGGGATGAGTTGGCATTTTTTATCTATTTTCTTCCCCTGTACTTACACTCATTTAGCAGGAATAAGTAGAAAATAACTGAGAATTTTAAAGAAAGCAATAAAATAAAGAAACACAAGAATTAACGTGGAAAAACTCCAAACTGGAGAAAAAACCACAGCCCACAAGGGAAAATCCACTATGTGAAAAATTATTACAATCACACAAATTTCTCTCCCCGACCCCAATTACACAAAACACTCTTTCAAAGCAAATACCGCTCAGTTAACTAGAGCTAGTATATCAGGCTTAAAATATTTCAATTGGGATGATAAAAACTCAAGCCTATGAGCTCCTTTTATAATAGTTGGAACACATCTCCTCCTTGTACTTTTCCAATGTGGGACAACTTCTAGCATATGGAGACCATCCTTGTATTCTTCCAATGTGGGACAACTTCAATTCCAATATTTGCCAAAACCCAACAAGATAGAGTTGAATGGTTGTTGGAGGGAGGGTATGGATGGTTGGTCACTGGTGGATTAAGTCAAGTGACAATAATTTCGTTTGATTGATGAACAATTGGAGAAGTGGATAGGAAACCACTTTGAAAGGGGAACTCAACCTCATTGAACATTACATTCCTAGATATGTAGACACGACCACTTGAGCTTGGACATTTGTATCCTTTGTGGGCTTCTCTATATCCTAAGAAGACACATTTTGTGGAGTGAAATTGAAATTTGTGCTTTTGGTAGGGTCGTAGGCATGGGAAACAAGCACACCCAAAGATTTTGAAGAACTTATAATCAGGTTTCTTTCCAAAGGCCTTTTCTCATGGTGATTTATGTTGTAGGATGGGTGTAGGAAGACGATTAATGATGTATGTAGCTGTAGTAAAGGCATCCCACCAATACGTTAGAGCATTGATGCTTGAGCTAGTAAGGTTAGACCCATCTCAACTATGTGTCGGTGTTTTCTCTCTACAATCCCATTTTGTTCACTCGTGTGAGGACAAGGATGTCTAAATTCTATTCCTTTGGATTTGAGATAAGGAACAAATGATCTAAACTCTCCACCCCAATCGCTTTGAACAATTTTAATTTTCTTCTCAAAACGATTTTCAACAAGACTTTGGTATTGGATGAAGGCATTTAAGGTCTCTGACTTGTTTTTCAAAGGGAATATATATGTCAGTCTTATGAAGTTATCAACAAAACTTGCATAGTAATTAAACCGTGAGGTAGATGAAATTGGCGAAGGCCCCATAAGTCACAATGAATTAGCTCAAGTGGTCCACTAGTTTGCGACGTAGAGAGTTTAAAGGGGAGAGAGTGAGACTTTCCTAATTGACACACATCACAAAATTGAAAATTTTCATTCATAGGAATTTTTTCATTACAAAATCTGAGAACCTGGCTCAACACCTTATCAGATAGATGACCTAAACGTTGATGCCATATTTTCTTGACTTCTTTCCCTTTTTCAACATTGAAAGCAGAATGAGATGAACTAGGAACTTGACTTTGACTACTTGATTTAGACAAGGTGGTGAGACTTGGACTTGACTCAAAAACAATATAAACACTTGGACTACATGACATTTTGTGACTCTTAGTTGATGACATGTGAATTTCTTTTGAGTTGTTTAGTTGGAGTTTGTACAATCCATCTTTAAGCCTCCCTTGGAGCACCACCATCTCTGTTTCTTTGTCCTTCACAAAGCAACAATCAGAGTAAAATCAACAACATAATTATTATCCGCTGTCAACTTAGAGATACTCAACAAATTTCTTTTGATTTTAGGAACATGTAGAATATTCTTCAAGTGAAGAGATGAGTATTTAGTGTTCAGCATATTATGACCAACATTTGCAACATTAAGTCGAGATCCATTACCAACATAAACAGATTTGTTACCCTAATATTCAGCTCGGATCTTTAGATTCCCAAAGTCTGGTGTTATGTGGTTTGATGCTCCACTGTCAGCCAACCAGTTGGAATTAGCAACTATCTATGGTGTTGCTATATATGCTAAGTTCTTATTTCCTCCTTCTTGTCCAAAAGTGCTTGTTGCTGGGTCATCATACCTGTGGTAGCAAATGGTAGCCGTGTGACCATATTTACCACATAACTGACAAATAGGTTTGGAGTTGTTTCCTCTTCCTCCTCTACCTTCAAATCTGTTCCCTCTATTGTTATTGTTGTGAGAAAAACCTCTGCGTTGTCCTCTAACTTGTAGGTTGTTCTGTCCCTTATTGTTTTGACTTGGCTGTGTAGTCGGTCGATTGAATGCCAGATTAGCAGTAATGTTTCCTGCTTCAGTGCTTGGATAACCATATTGAGATTGATGAGAGTGTTTTCAAATGTGATAAGTGTAGCATAAAGTTCTTGCCATGATATTTCATCTTCCTTGTTTATTTGGCAGATTATTGGTAGATACTCAACATCCAAACCTGAAACAACATAGGATATGAG